AACTTATGAGTATCATTTTAATTCATGAGCAAACTTGACCTTTATCTACCTTTCAGACTTTCAGGGAAACCTATTTCTATCTTTCAAACTTTCATACAAACCTATGTCTACCTTTTAAACTTTCATGCAAACCTATGTCTACCTTTCAAACTTTCATGCAAACCTTTGTCTACCATTTTAGAATTTCATGCAGACCTATATCAACCTTTTAAACTTTCATGTAAACCTATATCTACCTTTCAGACGTTCATGCAAACCTATGTTTACATTTTAGAATTTCATGCACACCTATATCTACCTTTTAAACTTTCATGTAAACCTATGTCTACCTTTTAGACTTTCATGCAAACCTATGTTTACATTTTAGAATTTCATGCACACCTATATCTACCTTTTAAACTTTCATGTAAACCTATGTCTACCTTTTAGACTTTCATGCAAACCTATGTTTACATTTTAGAATTTCATGCACACCTATGTCTACTTTTTAAACTTTCATGTAAACCTTTGTCTACCTTTTAGACTTTCATGCAAACCTATGTTTACATTTTAGAATTTCATGCACACCTATGTCTACTTTTTAAACTTTCATGTAAACCTATGTCTACCTTTTAGACTTTCATGCAAACCTATGTTTACATTTTAGAATTTCATGCACACCTATGTCTACTTTTTAAACTTTCATGTAAACTTATGTCTACCTTTTAGATTTTCATGCAAACCTATGTCTGTCTTGCAGTCATTTATGCAAACCTATTTCTACCTTTCAGAGTTTCATGCAAACTTATGTCATCCTTTTAGACTTTCATGCAAATCTATGTTTACCTTTCAGACTTTCATACAAAACTATTTCTACTCTTTAAACATTCATGCAAAACTATGTTTATCTTTCAGACTTTCATGCAAGCTAGATGTATGTCATTCTTTTCTGATTTTCATGCAAAACAGACCTATGTATACCTTTTTGGTTTTTATACAAAGTAGGCTTATATCTACTTTTTCATTTTTTTATCAGAATAACAGAATTCAGCATTAAATAACATGTACATGGTTCATATGCCGTAAAACAATACAAATCAAATAAGCCAAACTTTATTAGTGATGTTGAAAAATTTATTTTGATAAGGATGTTAATCTGAACATGCAAAATCCAGTTATATATCAATCTTTTCTAATTTTTACACACCATTTCAACGTGTGTCTGGGAATTTTCACATTTGATCTTTCAAGAACTTTCAAAGAGAATCCATTTTTCAATTGAATGTGTAGCTCTCATCCTCACTAACATAAAACATTTATACTTAAAAATTCTCAAATCATAAACTTTCTATCTTACCTTGTAGATTTCTTTAGCAGAGTTCACAGGTGAAATGAGGTACCTAGTCTTGATCTCGGTACCTTGTCTTGATCTCTAATAGTCATACCGAAATATGCATTGTTGGCCTCACACATTTTAGCAGATGTTTTTGCAAAGTATTTTTTTGCTCTTGTCTGGATAAATTTGTCATAGACAGCAAAACGTCTCTGCCAGATGCTTACAACCTCTTGATGCCATATGTGATGAATGCATTTATCAATGACAACTTGTCTGTACATGGATAGCTAAAAGTAAACTGAACTATTGACCTTATGTTCCCTGTATTTATACTGTAATCTATGTTGCCAGAACATTCTAGAAATTCTAAAAATTTTTAGAGATTTTTCTAAAGTTATTGAAATTCCTAAAAAATATGGAAAATTCTTTTTCAAAAACTCAGCACTGAATCTGTCCAGATTTCCAGTTCCAATTAGGTACATTATATTCACTTAAACTGTTCTCCCATCTATGGGTTAATTAGTAAGGCTTGTATCACTAAATCATTATTATCTCAAAAAAAATAAAATTCCATACCAAATATTTACATATGCCACTAAAACAAAAACAATTAACAAATCCACGATATTGTTGATGGTTACAGAGAATGGTCTACATCACAGCCACATGCAGTTTTTAATTCAAATCTTTCCTTATTCTAAACTACTTGCCAACCAAGACTAAATCACCCAATCTAGTTTACTACATAACATATTACTGGAGGGAGGGGTGATGGATTCGTTCTTTTCCTAACGGAATTTATGTGAAAGTGAATGTAATGAACACAGTTGGAATTCTAACGCAGCTTGTTGATTTCACGTCCTGATCATTTATCAGTTACCACCCCCAACACATCAATCACTTGATGCATATCCACTGAAAAGATCATGTGTCATATTTATCGCAGGTGGATGACAAATTAATACTTTCACTTATACCATATATGTTTAGGTATGTTAGACTTTTCTTTTATAGATTGCATCTTGATTTTCAACTGAGAAATCCTTTACACTAGCCTTAATTTTTAAAAATATTTTAGTGTATTTTAGTATTATCTTATATGATGATATGTAAAGAAAATTTCAGTAAACATTTTCATATAATAAAGCATTTTCATATATAAAATACACATTAGAATAAGCACCAGTTTGTGTATTACATGTTGTCTCTGTCTGTCTGTCTTTCTGTCTCTCTCCCCCTCTCTACATATATATATATATATATATATATATATATATATATATATATATATATATATGCTTAAATAAAAAAAATAATATAACCTGGTTATTACTAAACCTGATAAAGGTGTTGGTGTTGTTCTACTGGACTATTTGGATTACATTTCTATTAAACACTGTCCATCCTGCTTTTAAGTTTACCATAGAAAAGGAGTCCAATTCTTGTCTTTCCTTTTTGGGTGTTTTTGTTCATAGGATTAGTGACAAGTTTAGGACTTCTGTATTTAGGAAAGCTACTTTCTCAGGATTTTATATGCATTGGGACTCTTTTTGTCCCAGACAATGAAAGGTTAATTTGATTAAGACCTTAATTCATAGGGCACTTAAGATTTGTTCTGATAGCTTTCTCTGTGGTGAAATTGATTTTATTAAGATGACACTTTCAAAAAACGGATATCCTTTGGATGCATTGGACTCCATTATCCATGATGTCATCAATAAATTTCATAGGGTTAAGCCGCATTTTGTTGAAAAATGTCCAGTTTATTTGCATCTTCCCTATATTGGTACAGAGGGTGAAACTTTATCTAGATGAATTTTGCATGTAATTAATAACTGTTATTTTTTGGCTAATGTTCGAGTAATATTTGTTACCCATCCTATTTTCTCTTCCATTCGTGAGGACATCCCCACCCATCATGTTAATTCAGTGATTTATAAATATGTGTAGTTGTGGACTTGACAAAATAGGGAGGACGTCCTAACGTTTGGATCTGAGAATAAAACAACACTTATCCTCCAGGATTTTTAATCTGGATGCCAGGGAAAGCCAACTAAGCAATACTCTGGCTCTGCTATTGCTCAGCATGTAATAAATAGCAGGAATTGTGTTTGATTTTAGTGGTGACCGTTCTTCGATTTTATCTAGGTCCTACTCCTCATATCACCTCAAAGTTCTAGAGTTCTTGTATATCAGATCACGTGGGCCTTCCCTCTGTAAACAGAGGGACTGCTTACTGGGTCTGAATGTTATTGAACTCTAGTTTTCTTGAAATTCATATTTTTTTTTCCTTCCATATGTTATATTAATTTAATTTACACGCTTATATATTTTTTATATCCAAGAAAATAAACTTGATAACGCTGGAACAAAACCAATTGTACATTTTAGCTTTTTTAAAATGCCACATAAATTTTGGTTATTCCTAGCTATTGTTAAATTTTGTACCATAAAAACTTATATATATATATATATATATATATATATATATATATATATATATATATGTGTCTTGTAAATTAGTTTCCTCTTTGCCACCATGTCCCATAGGCCCAATTGTATGAGGCTTGCATCATATCATATCGTAAAGTCTAGGTTCAATTCTCAGAGTCAGTAAAGGATGCACATTGCTGATAAGTCCCAAAAAGGACAAACTGCCATCCAGTGCTTTTCTGCATGTGTGTTTTGAGGATTTTAGGTCTAGACATGATGAATTATTATGAAATATATATATATATATATATATATATATATATATATATTTATATATATATATATATATATATATATATATATATATATATTTCCATTTTTTTGTGTGTGTGTACAGTGCTGTGCAAAAGTAAATAAACCCCTAAGATAACATTTAAAACAATTGCCTCTTTTTTCCAAATGATCAACAAGTCTTAATTAAAATATATATATTCATTAAGAAAAACCTATATTATAATCAATAAGAACTTTCAAAAAATTTTATCAAGCTGGAATATAAATATTGATTAAAAATTAAAAATTCAGAATCACCTCGCTGTCTAGGTTGATTAAGTCTGGTGAGAAACATTGTTGTCTTACACCGCTTTTTATTTTGTATATCTGCTGTTCTTAAATAAAGACTAGATCAGCAGAAAAGCAAGAGGCAGTGAGGTATTTAGTAAAAATGTAAATATTGATGGAGTCTTTCCCTAACTCTGTCTCTCTCTCTCTCTCTCTCTCTCTCTCTCCACACACATTCACACACACATGCACAAACATAAAGGGTGATTTTATAAACAGTGGCTGCTGCTGCTAATGCAGTGCTCTTCAACTAGAATCAAGCTCTCCTAGCCACTGATGTCTTTTGTATAGTAAAAGATTTTAAAATTTCCCTTTGCTCTCTAACTGATGCAAATCAGTTGGGTTTTGATCCTGGCTTGAAGCAATCAAATATCTAGTCTCAGTGATGAGCTGTGATACAACAAAACAGTCTCTCTGTGGATGATATATATATATATATATATATATATATATATATATATATATATATATATATATATCCATAGAAATCAACAATGCATGTGACTGTCAGTTGTATACATCAATGTGATCTCCAGGCAAATTTGAATTTTGTCTTAAGATGGTTCTATAAACACACTATTTTCATTTTTTAGCAATCTTGCTCTATAAATATCTATAAATATATATATCTATGATATATATAAATATCTATCTATCTATCTATCTATCTATCTATCTATCTATCTGTGTATATATATGTAAATTAGTAGTTATCCTGATAATATTCAGCAGCTTCATGATATAGCAACACTCAAACTAGTTCACAGTCTGTGTGTGAGGTCTCAGTGGTGATGTATGCAGGTGGACTGAAAAGGTCATAGGCTAGAGCCATGAAAACTTGCATGCATTAATTTCAACTCTTCTTATTAATAAATGCATTGTTTCTTTCTAGGTAAACTGGTATCTGACTGTTCAAAGAAAACTGTTCAATCTGTTGGTCAAACAAAGTAATCAACAATAGATTTATCATCATTACTGTGATACTGGTTCCGAGCCAAGTGTTTTTTCATGTTGAGGAAAAGATGATAGTCTAATCAAGATGACAGTGAGGCTAATCAATTAGTTAAAAGCCACAGTTATGCACAGCAGCCTTTGAAACTAAGGAATTGTATGATGAATCATTGTCCTGATGTAACAAAACCCATTTGTCAGTTTTTCTGAGTGTTTGGTCTTGATAGCCTTTTTACCTGCCTCTGCAAGTTGACATAATATTCTCCCTTGATGGTGTGGCTCTTTTGAAGATAGTCAATAAACACAGTGCATTTCGCGTCATAAAGAAACTGAGGCCATCACCTTCCCTGTAGATGAAATGACTTTGGGTTTCTTTGGAGCAATGTGTTTCCACTGCATGGATCGTCTCTTTGTCTCTGGCTCAAAGTGATGAACCCAACACTCATCAATGAAAGCAGGTATCATATCATGGAGACATATGTACCTCTTGCTCAATGAAAGACATTGCATTGTAGATCCTTGAGAAAATGAATGGTTATTTCAGAGAATCTATCTATCTATCTATCTATCTATCTATCTATCTATCTATCTATCTATCTATCTCATTCTGTACATTATCTCTCTCTCTCTCTCTTTCTCTCTCTCTTTCTCTCTCCCTGTCTCTCTTTCTCTCTATTTCTCTTTCTCTCTCTCTCTTTCTCTCTCCCTCTTTCTCTCTCTTTCTCTCTCTCTCTCTTTCTATATATATATATATATATATATATATATATATATATATATATATATATATATATATAAATATGAAATATGAAAAACAACAACAAAATTCTGAATATGCATTATTAATGTTAAAATAAAGTCGACGTCGGACGTTTCGGTCTATTTAAGACCATCTTCATGGACATTTTCATTTAAACATAATTAACATTATAACATAACAATTTAACACAAAAAGACGATGGACATAAGACCCCAAACGTTCAGACGTGGACATTTTAACATTAATAATGCATATTCAGAATTTTGTTGTTTTTTTCTGTATTTTTCTTTCATACTGTCGGATTTATATCCATATATTTGCTTACATATATAAATATGTACACATGATATGCTGTATGTAGACATACCCAAACCTAGCAATTGAACAGTGATCTCTACATTCCAATTTCAGTTCTCTAAACACTAATCTACTGCCTAATAGCTCAATAGATAAATGAAAAAATAAAATAAAGAAAATTCTTTTACTTTAATTGTCTGCTTTAATCTTTGCAAAGCTCTTATTATGCCTGATCTGAGATTTTGACCAAAAGAGATTCCAGCTCAATGAATTTTCAAAATAGTGTTTCTCATAAAACTTTACCAACTGCCACGGCTTTTTTTTCTTAATCTCCACCTATCCATTTAATCATCAAACTACAAAAAATAACAACAAATCTTATTAATTCAACCCAGTTGAATCTATTGGCTTGGTTAACATTGAATGAGTGAGTATTTAGGCCTGAAGAGACACATTGAAAAGAGCCTCACAACAAAAAGACAGAACAGTTAGCAAAAAAGACACACTCCTTTTTGAGTTCCTCTGATGCAGTTCATCTCTTCAATTTTTTTTTTTTTTTTATTTTATTTTCTGTGTAATCATTATTATTGTCAAGACAAATCAATACTTCCTTTCTCATCTGTTACCCTCTGCACATATTCACATTTCAACTTGTATTTCTTCAGCTTCTTTTCATTTTCTTTCTTTTGTATTTCTTTTGATTCCCATAATTCTTTAGTCTTTTCTTTCTTTCCATCTCTCTCTTTTGTTCTGTCTTTTTCTTGTCATCTCTCTTGTTTTCTTTCCATTTCTTTTGTCTTGTGATTTCTTTCATTAATTTGTTTAGTGTCCTACATTTGTTTTTTCTTTCCTATTTTATCCTCCATACACTTTTTTAATTTTATTTTTATTCTTGCTTTTTTGGTTTTTTCCCTTCTTTCTTATTCAGTATAATACTCTATTCTCTTTCTTTCACTTTGTTCCTTTTCAGTATTCATTTTTTTGTTCCTTTTTCCTCTTTCACTTTGTTCCTTTTCAGTATTCATTTTTTTGTTCCTTTTTCCTCTTTCACTTTGTTCCTTTTCGGTATTCATTTTTTTGTTCCTTTTTCCTCTTTCACTTTGTTCCTTTTCAGTATTCATTTTTTTGTTCCTTTTTCCTCTTTCACTTTGTTCCTTTTCAGTATTCATTTTTTGTTCCTTTTTTTCCTCTTTCACTTTGTTTCCTTTCAGTATTCATTTTTTTTGTTCCTTTTCCTCTTTCACTTTGTTTTTTTCAGTATTCATTTTTTGTTCCTTTTTCCTCTTTCACTTTGTTCCTTTTCGGTTTTCATTTTTTTTGTTCCTTTTCCTCTTTCACTTTGTTCCTTTTCGGTTTTCATTTTTTTGTTCCTTTTTCCTCTTTCACTTTGTTCCTTTTCGGTTTTCATTTTTTTGTTCCTTTTTCCTCTTTCACTTTGTTCCTTTTCGGTATTCATTTTTTTGTTCCTTTTTCCTCTTTCACTTTGTTCCTTTTCATTTTTTTTTTTTCTTTTCCTTTTTCACTTTTATTCTTTTTTGTTTTTTTTTTTCACTTTGTTCCTTTTTATTCATTTTTTTGTTTCTTTTTCTCTTTCCTTTTTCCTTTTCGGTATTCATTTTTTTGTTCCTTTTTTCTCTTTCACTTTGTTCCTTTTCGGTATTCATTTTTTTGTTCCTTTTTCCTCTTTCAAATTCATTTTTTGTTCCTTTTCCTCTTTCACTTTGTTCCTTTTCGGTATTCATTTTTTTGTTCCTTTTTCCTCTTTCACTTTGTTCCTTTTCAGTTTTCATTTTTCTCAAACATCTTCCTTAAAATTATTTCATTTTTTTTCTTTTCTAAGAATTTTGCTCCTTTCTCCTTCTTTTCTTTCCTTTATCACATTCTTTTCAATTTTTTTTTTTTATCCATTCCTTCTTTTTGCTTTTTGGCTCGTTTTTCCAACTTTTCTTTTTTTGCATCAATATTAACTAATTTTTCCTTCCTTACATTCAATCTGTGTCATTCTTTCTCTTCTTTATCTAAATTCTTTCTTCTACTTATTCATCTATTATATTCTTTCTTCTTTTTTTTGTTGTTCTTCATTTTATTTGATCATTCTTTTTGTTTTATTAATAATCTCCATTTTTTGTCCCTTTGTCTTTAAGAAAAGTTTTTTTTATTCCAAATTCTACAAGTCTTTTTTCTTTCCATCTTTTTCTTTTGTTCTGTCTTTTTTCCCCCTCTTTTTTATTAAATAACTAATTTTACCTTATTTTCTCATTCATTTGTTATTCTTTCATTTTTTCTTTCTTTTTCTTCATTTTCTTTATTTTTTTCTCTAACTTCTTCATTGTTTAGTTTTACCTTTTGATTTTTTTGTAAAGTGATCTTCCATCTTTTATTTTTCTTCTAGATTTTCTCCTTCTCTACTTGCACATATTTTCTATTTTATTTTCATTCTTTTCTTCATTCAATCTTCCTTTCTGTCTTCTAATTTTTCTTTTGAACTTTGTTATCTTTTCCTTATTTTCTATTCATCTCACTTTTCTTTTTCCTCTTATTTATTTATTGTCTTACTTTTTCATAACTTTTTTTTCCATTCTTTTTATTTGCCTATTTCTTTTTTTTAAATGCAGACTGTCCCTATTCTTTCTTAGCCAATGCCTTTTGCCAACATACCAAATAATTAACCAATATACTTATTGCTTTTGTATTGATTTTGATTTTGATTTCTTTCTTCTATGTTTTTCTTGTGATCTTTCAATGATCGCCTGCACTCTCTAACAGTAACCAAAATCACACACATATATTGTTTGAATTTTTCTTTCAAAAAGTTTTTTTGTTTTCCATTTTTTCCCCAAAATACAAGGAATGACAACAACAAATAATCAAAGAATTTATCAATGTAAAAAGAAACCTTTGAAAAGAATTTCCTCTTTCTTTCAGATAGTATAAAAAGCTCCAAAGTATTGTTAAGCCCTTTAAACTCATAATTGATATGGAGGATTCTTCAAAATTAATAATAATAATAATACACAAAGATCTTTCTATAGATATAAAAAAACTTTTTCTTTTTTTTAGAGACATTAGACCTTTTCTCATAATACTAAGAAAACAATCCCCATTGATCTTTCATTTTAGACAGAAATTGTCCATCTAATATCTGAATTTATATTTGGACAAATGTCCTCATCTTTTTTTTGTTATCAAATAGTACAGACTTAGTGGAAACAGAGTGAGAAATAAAACTGAGTAGAAATTTTTTTTTAATCATTTCAACTCAAACAAGACAATAAATTCAGTAAGATGCAAGGGGTTACTGTGTTTGAAAGAATATGAGAAAAAGAAAAAACATTGAGAAGAGAAAACAACAAAAGAGCAAGAATTAAGAAAGTAAGAATTGACATTGCATTTAAATGTTTAAAGATCATATTTGATTGGGAAACAAGAAGCTGGAAAAGAGTTCCACAAGTGAGAAGTGTGATAGAAGAAACTGTTGGTATAGAACTTATGGTTACATCTAGCTATTTCAACTGTAAAATGACGAGACCTAGTACTGTGCTTAAATTTGTATAATCTAGGTACCAAAAAATCTAGGTACCAAAGAAGAAAGCTCATCAGAACAATTACCATGAAAATATTTATAGAAATGTCAGAGGGAAGATATATTACAGTAGTGGGAAGGTGACTGCATCCAATATTCTAGACCAGGACCAATAACATTGCAAATTCTTCTTTTGGATTTTATGAAGAATATTTAAATATATAGCAGAAGAACTAGACAACAATATTCACTACATTGATGAATTGTAGACTTATAAATGAAGAACAAGATGTTATATGCCTAGACATGGGCAGTAGAATGAGAATAATCTAGCCCCTTAGATTTAATTCAAAATTCCATTAATGTTTCTCAAACCGACAGACACCTAAAGAAGGCTGAAGTGCACAGCAACCATAATGTTAGGATTATAACAACAAAAATAAGGACATTAGTCTGAGTGTAAATGTATGTAATGATTACTCATCATCCCTAGAAATTCAAGCAGATAATAACTTAATGGTCACATTTAAGCTATAAAGTTTAGAGATTTTGAGGTAAAACCACAAAATGAAACAGTTAATTTGGTGATGGTCATTTAAGATATACATAGCATTTAGAAAAAAATAAGATGACACTAGCTACAATAAGAAAAGTTAGAGCTATACCATGAGAGTCAGGACTGGTGTGTACTAATCCTGACCCCAACTCCCTACCAACCATGGAGGCACCAAGCAGTGCTTTATGACCCTCACTATCTTATCAGTGTTTGGTTTTTTCTAACCTACATTTCTATGCATTATAAATTAAACTAAGCATAACTGACTATTAAACATTTTTGATAATTTTGATGTCATTCTGTTTTTTTACCGTCCAAATCTGTGAACTTGTTTTGCTTATGCTAATATTATAAAAACATGATAAAATTCACTATTTAATAATGTTGGATGTGTTAAAATTCTCCAACCTTTTAACAAGAAAATCTCAAGTTGATATTAAATATTGCCACAAACCATTGTTGATTTATTTAAGATGGAATGATCTGTTATGATGTGTCTCTAATTAGTATTTAGATACATTGTATTAATTTTCAATTTTTGTAATTAAATTGTTCGCCTATATTGCATATGATCCATTATTGTACATAATTGATTACAATAAAATTTGTACTTTATATTCATAGTAATAAAAATTTGTACTTTATATTCTTAGTATCTTATGAAAATTGAGATGTAGAAGAGTGGTGATCCCATATCATAGATTTGGTAGGATGAGTTTCTTGCGCCAGCCCTGAGGAGAGTATTAATAAGCACCTAAACTTGCAAGCTATTGTTAGTGCCTTATTATCTCAATAAGTTTCTATGCAACATTTGCCTTTAGTCAAGAACCAATTCTAGAACAATGTTATTCATGCTAGTCTTGCAAGTCATTACTAGTTTAGAGTGGTTGACTTTATATGTAAATCTTGCATTTTGTAGGAGGAACCCAGTGAGGATTGACTTCACTACTCAATAGTAATGTTAGGTTATTTTGTTTGAGTTTATGATATGTCAGCCCTTGGATTATTTAATTCTGAATTTTGTATGGGTCACCTAGTGAGGATCAAATTCACTACTTTGTAGCAATGGTTAACAAAACTAACCTTTTTAACTATAACCCCATGACAAGGCACTTATGTTACGTTAGTTTGGCTGAATTTATGAAATGTCAACCCTAGTATCATTGCAGTGAAGAAATCCACTTGAAAAAAAGGCTGAGGGCATGCACCTGCTGACGTCATTCACTTCATGATACATAGAAAAACCAGGGAAGACTCATTACATCGTTTATAACAGAGAATGGTTGATGGAATAAACTAGATGTGCTGGCTTCAGATTAGTGTACATGCCTTCAAACTCATATAAAGTTAGTAGCAGTGAACAAAAGAAGAGGAAGCAGGCTGACTAGTGAGACAGCAGATTTGCAACTGTGGCTCTGTGAATTTGTGACTCAGTTTGCTTTATTTTTGCTATAATTATTTAATGTTGAATTTTTGTGTAGGGCACCCAGTGAGGAACAAACACTACTCAGTACTGACGTTCAATAAGACTAACCCTGGTAACCATTACTCCATGCTAAGGCACCTAGGTTAGCTTAGGTTGGTTGATTTTATGATATGTCGACCCTTGGGTTATTTAATTTTGAATTGTATAGGTCACCTAGTGAGGTTCAAGTTCACTATTCAGTAGTAATAGTCAACAAGACTAGGCTTGCTAACCATTACCTCATGCTGAGGTACCTAGTTTAGGTTAAGTTAGTTGATTTTATAACATGTCAACCTTTTTTTGTATATTCAAATTTTTTATAGGGCACCCAGTGAGCATCAAACTCACTAATCAGTAGTAATGCTCAACCAGATTAACCTTGCTGAAACTGAAGCACCTCATCTATTTCTAGAGAGTTTTTTTTACTAGGTACTCCATGGATGGGAAAATATTTAAATATCTTATATACTTTGTAAAATAATACTTACCTATTCTCTTTATTTTATACTCCAGAATACAATCAATGACTAGCTGCTCATTTTCACGTCTATAGTCTAAGTAAGTATTTCTAGGGTGATGACTTTATCCCTGTTAAAAATGCCAGCTGAAGTACATTCGTGTCTCTTCAACACCAACACATAAAAGAAGAAGAATGTTTTATTCATTAAGATTTAAAGATGATATTACTACTAATAATACTATATGAAATTCAAGTGAACATGAAAGAAATATTAAAAAGTTAATATTGCTTGATCTAATAAAAGAATATAAGATCTTATTGATACCATCTTTGTCTTACCATCAAATTCAAGTTGATATTACTAAAACATTATTTTATTTTTGTAATAAGATTTATTTAATATTTCTGAATACTTTTTGAGAGTTAAAAAACGAAGAAACAAAATTTAATCTAGTTTTCTTAATCTGTAAAACAGCAATGAGAGGAGAAAAAAAAACGATTACAGAAAATGTCTACTGATCTTATAACTCAACTTAAAAAGCAAATGTTTAAATTGCATTATACATATGGAATGTTGAGATGGTGAAAAATTGTCCTTGTAACAATATTCAACTTTCCCATAAAGAAAAAGAAATGGAAAAGAAAAAAAGTAGATAAAATGTCATTCCAACATTTTTATATTCCAGAAATTGTTGAATTGTTTTACAAAGATTGTTTCTTTTTTTTAGTCCAGTTTCTTAAGAAGTCAGTTCTCATATGGCAGGAAATAAACTAGACACAGGAAGATTTCTTAATGTCTCCTCTTATTACTTCAATTCTGACTGTTACTCCAACTATTACTCGGACTATCATGCAGACTCAGTATTTGATTCATTGTTCATTTAATTATACTTGATGTATAGATATAACAGTAGACACATGAATGTGCATGGCTATTTAACATAAAAATGCTCAGCTCAATTTGAATGTCTGTTTCTTAAAAGGTATAATATTCTTTGTAACTTAATAACAATACAGACTTAAAAGCTTAAACTTTGTATGAAAGATTTGATATATGTTTTAAATGCTGTGTTTTGCCTTTCTCAATAAATAATATATATGGAGGCAAAGATTGAGATGAAGAGATTTGCCTTATATAT